GTCTGCAGGGGGGGGGGTTGTGTGGAGAGGTGTTGGCGCTCTTGGGAGAGGCGGCCTGGACACCTCTGCAGTAAGGATAGGCGCTCTTGGGAGAGGCGGCCTAGGCCCTTCTGCAGTCTGCTTTACACTCCTGGGGATCAGGCGTTCTTGGGAGAGGCTGCCTGCCCAGGTTTGTTCTGATTTCTTTCCTGCTTTGCAGGTTGGAGAATGCGTGGGCACTCTTGGGAGAGGTGGCCCAGCATCCCTTTCTCTGTGGCTCGTAGGACCTCCGTCTCTACCGCTTGGTTGTGGTATGAGCACGTGGGTCACGAGTTTGTTCCAATCACCGGAGTTCATGCCTGCTGGGAGTACATCGGTCTGGGCTTCGCTATGTTATGCATTAGCGAAGCCTAAAGGGCGAAGCAACATATGAAATAGAAACCCCAGTTACTTAATGTAACTAAGGTTCTATGAATATGTTGCGAAGCCCTTTAGCTTTGAGCCCAGCAGGCCTGCCCTCTCTTATTCGGCTGAGTTCGAAAGGAGAAGAGCTGTGGTGCATGGCCCTATTTATAGGGGACTGGCCTACGCCAGGACGGGAAGGTGATTGGAGGGTGGATCGTTTGATCTTCTCAGGGCGGGAAGCGATGCTTCCGAGAGATATGCATTAGCGAAGCCTAAAGGGCCTCGCAACATATTCATAGAACCTTAGTTACATTAAGTAACTGGGGTTTATCTGAGCTGAATTGGGAAAATCCAGACCTCGTTACGAAATGAAATGAGTACAACGGTATAGTAAGACCAGGCTAATTTCGACCTGGTTTACTAGTTAACTTATATACTACATTAGTCATGGCTTAAAGTAAATGTCAGTTAATTTTCAAACTATGGAAAGTGAAGTTATTCTTTATTGTGAAACCTTCTGAAGACAAGCACTGTTTATACCCTCCTAAGATCAACACAGCAGCCTCCTGATTGGTCAAAATAATTCAAAAATTCCCGAGGCCCTTTGTCATTGGCTTAACTGTTACCCTCCACCAATCTTACTGGCCGCAGTTATGCCAAGGACTATAGTGTCTACTTTAAATATTTTACTGTTGGAAAATACTGCACATAATAGCACAGTGTCCAATGGTCAGAAATGAACAACAAATTAAGTTACTGAAATCTCCTTTATATCTTTTTATATTTGAGCACAGTCCAAGTCAGATCCAGATTAACGAGTCTTTCAAGCAGATAGTGTGAAAAGTCACTATTAAATCAGCTCAAATGCTAAAAGAGTTAAACGTGGAGATACTATGAGCAAAATTCCAGCCCAGAGAAAATGGTCCTTCCCAAAAACCTGATCCTTCAGAAACTTAAGTGGAAGAAACCCTGGCAAAGAGCAACACAAAAGTAAAACGCCGTGATCAACTATGTATTATCATGTCCTGTAAGCTGCTTTCGAGTGCAAACACTGATCGTTTTTGTTCTTCAAAGCAGTAGCGATTCCGTCTGTCAATTCTTACTACTTCTTCACTTCCAGTAAGTCAATAGAGAAGGGTGAGTAAATGTGGATTACAGTACAAAAGCCTGCTGCGGAGTCTGTAATCGTTATTTGCAAAAACTTGTCGATCAGAACTTGCAGAGACATGTTGGAAGATTTGACTTCTTTAAGTCTTGGTTAACACTCATCACTTGTCTCGTCTTAATCGGTTGCCACATGGGGAAGTTAGAGATTCAGGAACCGACCCAGTAAAACAGTTGCCACCATAAAAGCAGCAGAGGAAGTGTGGAATGAATGATGTGTGCTGTTTGGATATAAAACTAACTATTTTACAGTTACCATTGTATTCAATTTGGCAAATGTTGCTATTTTCTGTTAAGCTTAAAATGAGGGAGCCAAAATATCTGGTGTTTATGGCTCATATTTAGCGTCTGTGGCTATCGGTTTTGTTGAACCTCTTTGCATTCATCATTTTGAGCAAATTACTACCTTAGAGATTTGATTTCTGTTTTGGTTTTGTTTGGATTGAGCTGAAAAGGTTACGAAGGGCGAGTATTGTTGACTGATTTACAGATTTCAGCTGTAAGTAAGTAGTAAGTTAGTAAGTAAGTTTTTATTTATATACCGCCTTTTCACTGCAGATCTGAGTCTCAAAGCGGTTTACAATTGTTAATTTTTTGGGCATTTGTCTCTCACTCCACACAGAGATGGGAGGGGCCAGTACAGGAAGCACATGCCAGAACTATTGGACATATTTTTAGTGGTAGGGGAAACCGGAGTACCCGGAGGAAACCTACGCAGACACGGGGAGAACATGCAAACTCCACTCAGAAAGGCCCTGGTCCGACCGGGATTCGAACCCAGGACCTTCTTGCTGAGAGGCGAGAGTGCTATCCACTCAGCCACCGTGCCGCCCGGTGTCTGTCCCTCACTATAAAGCCCTTTGTAGCCTCAATATTTCAATATAAGCTTTTTTGCATGCCTTTTTTACAGCGTGCTTGTCTCGTGCCGCGTGTATACTCCAACGCCATCGTACACTGCATCATAAAACCGCTGCTAGAATACGACAGTTGCTGTATGTTTGACGGTCGTAAAAACCCTCAGCACACACTTTTCTAACCACCTGAACTCTCGACCGCTGACGTGCAATCGCGGAGATATTAAACTTGTTCATTGTGGGTCTGAGTGCTGCTGCAGCTGTCAAAAGCCGTGCAGATCACACCGGGCTGAGGGGCAGGAGCAGAACTGAGCGCACTAGCGATTATATGAGATGACGGTATAAAAAAAGCAAAATTGCACACACAAAAAAAAATTCAAAGAAACAGCGAAGCCACAAAAGGTTAATCAAAGTATTGGTTATATATTTGTACATAATATATCCTGAACAGACTATATGTTTTGCCTTTAACATGTTTGCACACATAAAGTCTATCTTATCTTATATATTTTAACATTTATGGACATTCATCTGCCAATACCAATGTGTTTTCCGTTTTATTTCTTGTGTTTGAACCGTCTGATTCCCTCATCTGTGTTGGCGAATTCAACGGTTGTGTAAAGTCCTTCGAGACCTACTGTTGTGATTCATGGCTAAACAAGAATACATGGCTTTGAATTATAATCGAGGGACTGTGTACTGATGTGCTGTGGGTAGGTTGCTAGAATACGGTACCAAATACAAAAGCGCAATGGAAACGCAACCAGGTTGAGTAGAACCGAGCAGAGTCGAACCAGGCCAAATAGGACTGGTGGAAACAATAATATAGAGATGTGAATCAGTGTGACCCCCCCAAGCCCGTAGTTTGTCTGGTCTATACGGACTTTTTAAAGCTCATGTCGTCGCCTGTTGTCTGGGGATTAGGGGTGCAAGAACAAGTGAATCCAGCCAGGACAGAAAATAACAGCTATGCCTGACCCAAAATAGACCCCAGTGCATCCATGATAAATCGTGGCGACCTCAATGGGAGTGTTTTCTCATTCGCTTCCGTCTCCTGGGTTCCAATCAAGACAAACTGTGGAAGTACATTGCAGCAAATTGGATTGAATGCAATCCAGACCTCCACTTTATCCAAGCTTAAGACACACACATGCATTTAGTCTGCCAGAAAGCTATTCATCACGGACAAAGATAAATGTTTTGGTTTTCATTGTTGTGTTGTGCAGTTTCTTTTCGTTGCATTTAATAGCTCGGTTGTCAGGACAGAAAGGAGAAAACTTCCACCGGTGTATAAAGGGCATGCAACTATTTTATCACCTGTGTCTTTTATACTGTGCTTAATTACCGTTATGGAAATAATACATGTTTTTCTGCTGACTTCAGCGTTTTTATTATTGTGTGTGGTCGCTAATACTCAATAAATTAAATCCCAAGTCGGCCTAATTATGGGCTTTAACTTGTTTTATTTTCGCGCTAAATAAAACTTGACTGGCCTCAGAAGCCACACAAAAGCCATTTGACAGCGTGATGACTAATAACTCTGTTTCCAGAAGCAAGTTTTTGAGATTTGCCCAAAACAAATGTTCGGTATGTGACAGGACGGTAGGAGTGCAGTCTCGACATGGCACATTTTGCAGAGGTATGCGCGGTGATACTGTACTGCTAAAAGACACATGTGCAGAGCCAAGATGTACGTCTCTCATGGGAGTGGAAATCTATATCACATCTGGTCAGCAGCAGGACGTCTTGAGGTTGGGTTTAGGGTTAGGAGTCACGGTCTTGCCATTAGTGCCATTAGTAAAATATAAATAATATATAAGGCTTACATTAGGCTATTTACCAAGTGGTTTTTTATTTTTATGCCATATATATTTGACTATATTGACTGTTAAAGGGTCTAACAAAAAGGACAGCGGCGATGATCCAGGACACTCAACATTCGACCACACGTATGGACATTGGTCAACTCCCCCCCAACGCACCAATACCTGTGTTCTCTATTCTTTGTGTCTTAACGGTTTGATTCTCTGATCTGTGTTGGCGAATTCAACGGTTTTGTTAAGTCCTTGAGATGACTACTGTTGTGATTTAGGGCTATACAAGAATACAGCAAACTGAATCTATTTTAGCGCCATATTTATCAAATGTTTCCCCTTCTTGAGCCAATCCTCTCAAACTGAATATTGTAGCTACAGGAATAGGCACATTTTCAAAACTGAGATATCTTATTGTGTGTAACTGTTTTTATAATGTGTAATTGTATGCAACTTTTGTCCAGGACTCCTTTGAAAAAGAGGGCCTTAATCTCAATGGGACTTTCCTGGTAAAAATAAAATATCTGCCAAATAGTTCATCATACATTGTGTTATTGACCATTTCAAAACATAACAATGCCTATAAAGGATGCAAGAAGAATAACATTGCACAGAGAAAGGACAAAACCAAGCGCTCTAGAATTACAAAACACAACACTTTGGTAAAATGTGCTAAAATGCTGCTTGTGGGAATTGAATGAAGGCAAAAAACGAAAAGCCTGAACTTAAACTTTACTCTCATCAACGCATACAAAAATTCACAATATCTGTGTATCTTACTAACCTTGAGGGACTGCAGAAAAATGGGGAGGCAACATCAACAAGTTCTAAAGCCATGGCACCGTGCTCTTTGAGCTGCTTCTGCTGGAACAGTTCAGGAATGTGGATTGAGAACATTGCAAGTCAAAAAGGCGTGAAGAGAAAAAGTTTGTAATCTTACCTGCACTTCCAGTCCTCCACAGCATGAAGTCGGTCTCAGGTCTCAAGTCTCAGTGCACTTGTCTGGGACCATGTGAGGGACTGGACTGCAGTGCGCGCTCCCCTGAAGAGACGGCCACGCACGCGCACTACCGATCACAACACAAAGCAGCAGGTCACGTGCTCCGTCTGAACAGAAGCTGAGATCCTGTTGGTATGTTTTCTGATTTGTGACTGAAATTCTCCCCGAGCTGATGCTGAGGACAGGTGCAGCCTAGATCCAAACTACAGGCAGAAGGAAGACAGTTCTCTCAGCCCAGTCATCCGGTCTAATTTAAGACGTAATGTAAGAGGCGACCTGCAATGACAGCGAGTGGAGAAAATAACCCAGGGGCCCATCAAAGCAAACAGACCACCGTGCGCCACCTGCTGGAGACACGCGTCACAGCGTAGAGCAACATCACCACACTAGGGAATCTGAGAGCTCATTACAATGATTTATTATACTTCCAAAAGTGATGAAAAATAAGTAAATAATGTCTCAAATGTGTCAAAATGCATCTTAATTTGAGCATTTTTTGACTGCCTTAAAACAAGATTTCTCAATGGGACAAGCGAAAGGATCTTATTTTAAAAACATACAACAGTTCTTGAAATAGGACTAAATGAGGACCAAACTAAATGAGGACTAAACTTGATTTAAACATGTATTACCTCATATTTTATCACTTTTTGCACTGCACTTTTAGATTTTTTCAGAATATGAAACTATCCTAATCGTAACATGGCTTATGTTCCAAAAATTGCCTTGAACATTAATATTCTATTGTACGTTGGGAAAGGCAGGCTGGGAAAGCAGATAAAGGGCTGTTTGAGTTTCTTTGATTCGTTGAACATTTCAGTGGCTCATGCTGCCAGATTCTAGTGAATGTGTTTTATGAACCTCAGCCCACGCATCATTCATGCACATTGGGCAATAATGGAAAGCAACGGGTTGATTTTGCTGACAAGTATGTGCAAATAAATTAGGACCAAAGAGCAAATACTACGCCTAGTATTTTTATGTTATTTATTTGGATGGGAGAGAACTGCATCAGCTGTAAATACAGTGGGGAAAAAAAGTATTTAGTCAGCCACCATAATTTACAAATAAATTCTTTAAAAATCCTACAATGTGAATTCCTGGATATTTGTTTTCACATTCTGTCTCACAGTTGAAGTGTACCTATGATGAACATTACAGACCTCTCTCATTATTTTAAGTGGGAGAACTTGCACAATCGGTGCAACTTTTTTGCTCCACTGTACATCAGATTGAAGCTTTTGGAGCTAATTTCCATCTGTAGTCCAACAGTCACACTCACCTATTACTGTTTTATAGGGAAAAACCGGAGCACCCGGAGGAAACCTTTGCAGTTACTGTGGTTAGCACACCACCCACACTTACATGTGAATTCATGAAGGCCACAGTTCCTCCATGTTTCTCGGGGATGTTGAGAGCAGACAGAGAAGTGAAGCAGGTTCAGCTTCATCAGCACATTGTGTAATGACTGGGTTTAGTCTCAAATCAAACGCCTGGAAATGATGAAATGTGAGCCACATGTCAGATGTTGGGTAAAAGAAAAGTGATGTGCCATCATTTCTCAGTACAGTTCCTTGTTCACCCTTTGATCACTAATCATTACCAACGGAAACTATAGCATTATGTAAACTAAAAGCATTGAATAAATGCAGTCAGTCACATATGGACCTGTGTAATCTGGACCAGGATATTCATGTTCCACGTTCATCACGTCATATTTATTCAGTGAGAGCTTTAATAGCTTTGCAATAAACTCTGCAAACCATCTGGTGAACGGTCAACAGCTACAAATCATAGTCAACTTTATCTGAACAGAAGTTTAAAACGAGTTAATATGAAAACAATATTGAAGCATTTAATCCAATTTTAATCCAGTTTGGGATGAAATTTAGCTGGTCTTGGCTACATCTTTTTTTTAAAATGAAAATAGCTCCACGCATTTGTATAAATAAAAGCAGATACAAAAAAAGTATGTACAGTTTCTAGCGAAACCCCAGCAGGTGGGTTGCATCTATGTTCAGGAGCTACATTTGTTACAAACAGGAAGCTTCTGGCAACTAAAGTTGGATTGTAATGACTTCACTAAACCACTAGGAGAACCTATCATTAAGCAAACCATAGTTTGAATAAGAATCTGAAATCATGGAGTATTATGTGGTATTAAGTGTTGTTCAAATCAAATTGGATTCTTAGATAAATCTGACCGTAAAATGAATTATAAAAGCTCCCAAAACACAGAACAGAACTAACCAAATCTAATTGATTCATAGTTGAGTAACCAATTGCCCAATTCAAATCCTGCCTGAAAAAAGTGGTCCTTTAGGTGCTATGCTCAGGTCAGAATGACCCGCCACAGAGATTAAAAGTAGTGATTAGTAAAGATTTTTTAAATCCCTAAATTAGGGTTTGTGTTCCAGGGCATGCAAAGTTAAGGGGAAGAAAAAAATCATACAAATTCAGCTGTAACATTTGTAACCGATAGCACAAATAAACATAACTAAAATATATAAGTTAGTTAAAGTAAAAAGACAATAGAACATAATAAATACAATGAGACAATGTTCCTTTTATAGGAAAATTTTAATAGTTATTCAATGTTCTACATTTTACAGTAAATATACAATTACAAACTTGGCTTAGTTATAGTACTAAGATCACTAACTGATCTTAAAAATAAAAACCTTAACAAGAAAAAAAAACATTAAAAAAACAAAATAAAAACAGATTTACACTTCATATCACAAGCCTGACGCAGGTCCTTCACTGCGGACCTAATAGCTAACATACAATTCACTTCTCTCAACGTCAAAAGACACGTCGGGCTCAGTTTCAACACAACCTTACGGTAACAGGAATACCATAGCATGTGCAAACTGGGTACCAAACGGAAACTTCCAAAGATGGGGCATTCCTAATACTCGCTCCTGTTTGCGGACGCGAGTACAATTCTTTTTTGTTTTCTTTTTTTTCCGGAAGACGAGGAATTTCCACTTTTTGCATCACATTTAGTGTGAAATCAAACTATGACAAATCCGACAAATCAAGACGCTGCAGCAGAACACCAAAGACATTTCAAGCAACTTCTACCATCGATGGAATAGTAGCGATTTATTTATGCTCAAGGAAAGAATAAATTACCTCTAAAAGCAAGGCAAATGCAAGGAGAGAAGAGATGAATGGTTCAGCCCACCCTTTACTATCAAAGTGAAAAGGCGCTCGATAATAGAACTGTTCTAAATGCCAGTTAAAAGCCTTTTCTGAACATTTCAAAATGTCAGAGCGATGAGTGTCAAAGTAAAAAGACAGTGATTAAGACATTTTTCTTAAGCCCATGAAACTTCCAATTTAATTTCTATTTTAAGTGCAAACTGATTAACCCAAGAGGTGAGGAATATTAAAGGGCCCCCATTGACCTGCCGAGTCAATGATGAGGCGTTGGTCCACACATTACTATTATCAATTCTGCGTTCCACAAAAATGGCATTTGAGGGACTAGCCCATAACGTACGAGTGCTCCAAATTGTAATTCTGGCAAGGAGTATCAAAATTGTTGGCCCCCTTTTTTTGGGTTTCGATCTATTACAATCTATTGCGAAAGATTCAAGAATCTTTCTGGGTGTACTGAAGATCAACAAATGGCACAGATTGCTGTGGATTATCAGCGTCAGCCGACACCAATTGGCGAGATTCAGGTGTTAATGGAGCTGTCTAAAGGCGGCTCTAGGAATTGATAGAATGATCATTTCGGCAGGGTAAAGAATGGCCTCTAGAGGGCGCTGTGGCACAAAGCGAAAGAAAAAAGTACAAGACGTCAAGAATACAAAAGGTAAGACAGGCAAAATGCAATTGACAATCTGTGAAAGAGGACAGCAATAGGAAAAACACAGAATCACAGGAAGCTAGACATAACAAGGACTCAAGTCACCAGTAAACTAATACACACTGAACAGCAGTTTGTGAAAATATGGCACAGAACAAAAGGCAAGAAGCGTTTAAGGTTTTAAAGGACATTGTTAAAGCGGTGAACGGTCAGCACAGGTCACATCGCTCGCTTACGGCCACGAGGTCTGCGAGAGCGGTGTGAACGGAAGCCTTTTCCAGCTATTTTCAAAAGTTGTTATGTGAAGGCCAGTTACTTTTCAAATCGTGAGCATGGTGAGACCTTTATCGAATGCAAGCAGTAGTTAAGGCCCGCCCCTACAGGTTCCTGATTGGACGCAATCAATTCAAATCCTTAAAAAGACAGCAGAGTTCCCTTACCATCGGTCTAACTATTCTCCAACAAATCTTACTGCTGGAGGTTATACCAAGGGGAGGGGCTACTTTATACATATTCAATTATGGGTTTTGTTTGTTTTGATGGGTTTAGGGTATTGAAAATAACTGCCTCCAATTGAGAAGTACAAAGACAGACTCCTTGACGATGCCGAACGCTAGCATTTGCAGACCGCGTGGTGAAGTCCCTCCACGCATGGGGAATACATGAGCAGAATGAAGGTTTAAAAAGAGGTTAGAAAGCACAGTAGCTGCCACACTAATGCGACCATGCGTAGCTACATTACATTACGGTACCACTTGCTGTATACTGCATTTTTGTTCAATGTTATTATAGTCCGATACAATATTTTTATGAACAGAGACAAAAATACTGCCAGACGAATGGAAGGTCAAACTAAGCCTACGATGCTTCCTGTTGTAGAATTAGGGAGAATTTTGGGAACATTAGCAAATAAACATCGTTTCTTTTATGTCATTTTTCAAGAAGTAGATAAATAGTAAACAAATATATGACAACCTCAGAGGTGTTCAGTCATTAAAATAGAGTTTGCCTATTCATGCCCCTTGCACTACAAAGCCTAGGTACCTGTTACTTAGCATTAAATTATACAGTTCACACGTTTTTTTTGCATTTTCATCTTTCAAAATGTGCAATGATTCCATACAAAGTTACCCAAACTGAAATTTCTGATATGTTCCACTCCTTGATGCTGTAATTATTAATATACGACTGCATACAGTGGCTGTAATCTATATTCAAAGATTACATCAATGAGCAATTTCAAAATGTTGCTAAAATAATTACTGTGTTGAGGAGGCATCTCCTTATTTTTATTGCAATATCGACCGTTCATCTACATACCCGTGCAGTAAATGCTGCGTTTGTAAATAGTCTGTATTTTAATCCTTTAAATTAATTCAAAGCAATGCCACAAGCCGCACTCCGTTTTCAACATAAAACACCAAGATGAGGACAAAAGGACAAAGACTGGTTAACTTTAGTTTAAATGCTGTTAAAAAAAATGTAAATCATAACTTACCAAGACAAAAAATGACCAATAGTCTTTAGGCATTTTTATGTCTTTATACTTTGTAAAAATGAATTGGTGACTAATGTAGTGATTTATCATTGATTAGAAATGGAAGAAATGTAAATGCATTACAATGAAATGTTAAAGGACCAGAAACTTTACGTCTAAACGACTCGTGACTCTGCTTCTTTCCACATATGTCAATACAAAATAAATTATGTCCTTGCACTGTTAAATCAAAATCTAAAATGAACATCCTCTCAGCAAAAGTCACTTGAAATAGTTGGACTGGATGTTTGAGCCATCTTTGCCTTTATGTCCTCACATTAGTAACTTATGAAGAGGAGACATGTCGAGTTCAACAGGATTAGTGCAAACAGCTCGTGTGCAGCCTCTTGCCGATGATTCCCTGGGCACTCGTAGTAAATGCAGTGTCCTCCTTCTCTTCCCCATCTCTCCTCCTTCTCCCTCTTTTCTCTCCTCCCCTACTGCCCTTCCCTTAAACTCCTTGTTGCTGGCTCCGTCTAGCACGCGAGGGCGCTAAACTGCAGTATTGCGTGTGTGTGCGTGAGTGCATCCGTCAAAAACAGAACTAAACGTATTGTTAATTTTACACTAAGTGCCACTAAGTGATTGTGTGTCTGCATTTTTTTTTTTTTTAAGTGAGCACATCCACCAATATTCTTAAGTAGCATGTCATTATAAATATTTGCTGTTGTAACGCTAACCACGACCGTAACACTCCACGTTTGCTAGCTAGATTATGATTCCACGACATACCAGCCTGCATAGTATGTGGCATAAATTATTTGATGTTATTTTTTTGTTGATAAGTACAATGCATAAGACTAGAAGATGATGTAAATGCTAGATCACGGTGACATGGCACTTACAAATGAGATTAAAGACAAAGAAATGAGGAATATGGTCCAAGAAAGAAAAGTCAGAAATGTGCCGGAAGTGACAGATAAAAAAAAAAGAAAGAAAAATGCAAATTCACTGCAATGTTACCCATAAATAAAAAAAACTTTTCTATTTACTACGTGGCACCATAAGACAATGAGTTTGTGTGGAGATGAGTTGTAAGTGCCTTTAGAGTCCTGGCCAACCAGGAGCAGGCAGGGTCACACACACCAACACAACACAGACGTGGTGCAGCCAACATCAGTGTCCCTCTGGAGCTCCAAAGATGGACAGGGCAACAACAACACAAAAGAAATATGAATAGTTGGCAAATGAACAGAGTAAATAGAAACAAAATAAAAAAAGCAGCTTTTGTAATTAAAAAAAAACCTTAAAGAGAATGTTGTGTGATACCGAAAATAATAATAATAGTTGTAAAGTGGCTGTTGCACTTTAGTTTTGTTCTTGCCGACAGGTGCGGAGTTCCCGTGGTTTCCGCTGGGAGCCCCCGCCTAAGATTTGAGCAGTTGCATACAATGGTGGACTCCAGATCTGCTGGGGAAAAAAGGAGCCAAAGTACACAGTGGTGAGAGATTTAAGACACAGCAGCTGTTTGTTTAGTCACAAGAGGAGTGTCCTGGGGCGTCCCTCAGGGCGAGAGCGAACAGGCTTCACTCACATGAAGGTGGGCTCTACCAGTGAGGCGGTACGTAGCTGTAGCCGGGGGTCCCCTGGGGCCTGTAGGTTGGCACAGTAACGGGGTGTGCGCCAATGGGAGCATGCTGGGGTGTCGTTAGCAGAGTCCCTGTAGAATTGGAAGAAACAGAATTGAGAAACAACATATGATATTGAGATGTTACATTGAGTCGTTTACAATTCAAATTTGTTAAGTCACAGAAGTTCAACTAACTACAAATTACATACACCTTTCACATCAAACAAGAATGCATCGGTTATAACGCACTTTTTGGGACCCTCGATTACATTTCACACGGCACTACGCATTCAGTCGATCCACCTGGGTGTTAACTAATACAGTAGTAGTCCTGCGGCAAACCGACCAAAACGAGGCTATTAATCTGTGCACTTTGGCCCCCAACCAATCGTTCACACACCAGACTCATTCTAGGTAATGTGGGTAAAGTGTCTTGCTCAAGGACACAATGGCAGTTGTCTCACTCTGTAACCTTTGTTGCTCCCAGTAGTCTCCCATCACAGTACTAACCAGGCCATGCCCTGCTCATCTTCTGATATCAGGTTGTCACCTGCAGGTTTGTACAGACTTAGCAGTTAGAGGAGTACCTGCGCTCATGGCCATGGTTGTCCCGGCCACCATCCCCATGGCAGCCATGCCGTTGTTGCGGGGCGCCTGTACGGGCACCGGGGCGGGGTACAGGGCTGTGGAGGGGATGCTGTTGGGCTGCACCACTGTAGTGTGATGGATGACATGTGGCTGCGCCGCATACATGGGCTGAGTGTAGTACGCCCCCTGTGGAACAGTCAACAACCACACATTCAGTACAACGTTCTGCCGTCTAGAAAACACAACTGCAAGACATCACTACTTCTGCGCTTTGCTTTAGGAGATTTACACTTTTATACGATGACCACACATTGGACGACCACATTTTTTTATTTCAATAAAATAACATTTGTTGGTAATAAGATAATGTGAGTTGAAAAGAGTTCAATAACTTCTGTCTTGTTATTGGTTCATTATGTTATTCATAACAGGAGCATTAGATGTGTTAACGGACCTCCTCCACACGAGAACTGCTGAGGACTGATTACCTGTGCGTAGATGTTCTGCTGAGGATAGGCACTGCGGATGGGGTACATGGCTGTGTGGTACTGGGTGGGGGTGGGGGTGTAGGGAGGGGGTGCTCCATTTGTTTGAGTGGGAGGCACTTTATACGGGGTGCCTGCTGTGGTATATCCTGAAATTAAAAAAAAAAAAGGTTAATTGTTAGCGATTTGTGTTAATAATAAATAAAGACCAAAAAAATGAATATTTATTTCAGACTCACATTTAATTAGGTCCATATTAATATAATCCCATACAGTAATATTCCGATAAGACGAAGCAAATCCTAGTTTGTGACTCCCTGTTACGTACTATGTCAATAAAAACATCTCATAAGGCTGTTGTTTGTGTTGGCATTTACTAAGTTCAGCTACTAGATGGCGCATTGATGACAAGTTGCAAGGTTCTTTATGTACCTACAGTCCATTAAGGTTGATTCACATTTATAACAATGCCCTTGAGTTAAACTTATTATCTGAAATAAACAGCAGCTTTAGACAGGTCCTCTTCAACGCAGTAAGCCATATTCATACAGAAAAAAGAAAGAACAGAATAGACAAAAGGAAACAAAAGATGACATGGGCAAATGACTTGATGAGCACTCTAGTGAAATGAATCTTTATCAGCTCTCTGGGGTGCAGTACGTCTCCACGACCACTCGGAGGAGCCTGAAGGTCAAACATGCTAGCTCGGGCTGCTGCTGGCTTATGAAAGGCTTCTCTCTCACACACAAGGACAAGGGAACAAAGAGATGCTGGAGCGGAGCTGTGTGCAACCAAAAGAGTGCACGCGCACACACGCACATTCTTCTGCTCAAACATGCACGAGGGGACAATGGTGTGTGGCAATTACAAAAGCGCTGCCGATAGGGAAAACAGCCGGCCTATTCAATTGTCTTGAGAAATAATGACATTGGATGACATTTCAAATCAGACCGGTCTTGAAAGACGCGTGGAGGCTTAAACTGGTGAAATGTATATATTGTAGTTTCTTATCATTACTTAACATTCCAGGTCATTAAAACGCATTGGAATATACTTATGAAGACAATACCCAATATACTGGCTGCTGAAACATCAAATATGAAGGGGAGGGGACAAAAGAACACTGCCATCAAAACTCTATGGGAGAAATGTATGAACTGCAAAACATACGTGGAAAGAAAGGAGAGACAAAATAATGTGTGTTGTAGATTGCTGGAACTGCCAATGCCAAAGAGGCAAGGGGCTTTTCATTCATTTCCTACCACTTGACGGACTGGATCCCATATGAGGAAGCGCACGATTCTCCTTCCATCTGTTCTGAGATCAGACAGCGGACCCCAGCAGAGCAACCATCTCGTGCCGACAGCTGTTACTGGCTCAATTCCCACTCCTTCGCCCTTTATAGAACGGGATTCCATTGAAACTTAACTGCTCCAATGTCAACAGCGAACCTCGACATTGTTAGTAAGCTCGTAAACTTTGCGTTAAAACAAGTTCAAACTACCTTCATTTACGAGTATGTTTCCTCTTCATAAAGAAACGACAGCAACTTGCAGCATTGTTTAAATAATAGCAATATGGCACTTTTTATTTTATTGTACACAATACATCTTGCACAAAAAAGACTGTATTTTAACCTTTAACGCGTTTGCACATGTCCGGTCTTTTTGCACAACCGGAGGGATTCTATTTATGCCAAATTCCTCCATTGTGAGATCAATAAAGTTTCTTAATAATTCTGCTTTATGGCCTTCAACACAAAACCCTCACAAGCATGTACTGCTCTTTGAAAGAAGGAGGAAAACGTACATGATTAAATAAGTACAGCTCACCAGGCAACTAAACGGGAGTACCTATTTTTAGCTCCGTCAGCAGGGTGTGTGAGTGGGTGCGCGAGTGGGTGCGCGAGTGTGTGTGTGAGTGCCGTACCTGGTGGATACCCAGGACTGCCTGTTTGATAGATGTTCTGTGTATAGGTCGGGGCTGTAGCCGGGTAGCCTCCTGGGTAGCCTGAAGGAGGGGGATAACAGAAACCAATTAATGACCGGACAGAAATGTACAACAACGCAGAGCGGCCACGTTTAGCCGCGTTCGGCGTCTACACAGATGGCCCTCGTTAAAACGTCTGCAGAATCCACGTTCCATAAGCAGAGCTGGCAGAGGAGACGCACCTGCCGACACGGTAACCGGGGGGGGAATGCCGCGAGCGAGGCCAGAGTCCATGTGAGTCATCCATTAAATGTCGCTCAAACAAAGCGTCGCCTCTGGGAGAAGACAGCGGCTCTGCGTTCAGGTGCGAGCTGGAGGCGTGCGGGGAGTGGGAGGGCAGCAATGCGCCACTGTCTGCTATAAACGGCATTGGATTGGGTCTTGACCGGTGTGCCGAGTAGCCTTAAGCAACAGCTACAGGAAAATCAATCTCCGGAAACTGAGATGAGTTGCCATCACAGGCCGATGCATCCATATTGTATAGTACATGAGGGATAAATTATTCATCCAGTGCTGTACTTTAGCCTGACGCAGGAATCAAACACTGACAGTAGAACTGTGTTAAAGAGGCAACCAGAAGTCTGCATAAATATGGATAAATATGGCCCCGAGCATTCGATAATTGCCTAAAAACGTGGCTTAGTGTGGCCTGCCAAAAGCATCTCTTCATCTCCATTCCTTAGATTATTTGAGTTGTTTCGAAAGGTGGATGCCATTTCCATCTGAATTTAACACACAAAAAAGGCTAAGTGACGGCACGGGGGGCTGTTTTAAAAGACTTTTCCAGTAAAAAGATGGGGTTTTTTTCATATTTTCTAATCATTGCTCTATACATTTCAGGGCACTTGCTCGAGACGGAGTCTGCAACTAGAGCAGTTAAAGATTAAATCAATTACTAAATTGGTTTCTACATAAATGAAACCAGCTACAATCAATTGATTAATTGTTACAGCCCTAATTGTCAAATATAAAAGACATATTTTACACAGACAAGCACAAGTCGACTCTTTTTCGCCCCCTCAATTTTTTTGGAGCGAAACCATAATTTTAATCTATTTCAGGCCATTGATTTAGTCCAGCTGTCGCTCACTCGGAGAGACCAATAGGAGGAGTAAGTGCAGTACTAATGTGTGTTTAAACAAGAGATACATTGATCCACCTTTTTCAAGTCTGATACCTGATGTGAACAGATGCCAGCAAAGGGACTAGAGATAGGCTTTTTAACAGACCAATTGGACTTGCAATTGTGTTTTAAAATACCTTTTAATCCTGCAAGTATTGACAAAACAGTCTTTGTAAAAATTAAACTTAATGTAATTTTTGTATGTATTGTTAGCGTAAAATGCTATATAAATTAACCCTATAAAACGCTCGATAGTGACATCTTAATTTCAAAAGGCTATTCCTTAAAAGTGATAAGAGATAAAAGGCTTTCTGTAAATTAGAAAAATATTAAGGATGGCCAAAGGTTTATGTAGAGAATAAATCCACCCATCTAATTTGCATATTATGACATCATATGGCGTTAGAAATTGTGGATTTTAGAATTTTCATGTCAATCAATTAGAAAAATAAAAATATTGTATATTGATCACTAGGACATGAACACACACAGAACTCACACTGCAACATTGTAAATGTTCATGGAAATAGTAAAAAATACAAATCATGGTGCTGCTGTGAGCAGTCTGCCTCTGCCCAGACGCGCGCCTCCAGGTGAAGCGCGTCACCGCTGCAGCTGTCTCCCCTGCTCTCTCTCTCATCTCCCCTGATCTCCCCTGATCTCTCGCGTACAACAAACACAAGACAAAGGCTTCTCCAACACGTCACTGTCATGAAAATACATCTGGGAAGCACTATTAGCGGAAACTTTAGCGGAGACTTCAGCAGAGGCTGGAGGTCGCAGCGCGGTACCCCGACGCGAGTTCCAGGCTTGTTTTCCGCAAATCTAACCTGTCTCCAAACCTCCCAATGACTGCCCTGACCCTGAGAAACACTGTTCCCACTGCAGACACGGTGTAAAGTGTCTAAAGTTAGTGTTTGGTGCGCTATAACACTCGCAGGCTGCCCCGCAGCTGCAATCGCGTCACTATTTTTTCCACACTGGTTCAACGCGGTCTTCCTCGAATATTTTGTATGGGAGCATGACGTTTTCTGGGGCCAGGAAGGTAGTCTGACATGTCTGCCAACTAGTGGCAGGGAGTATGAATGAATTTTGACACTCAGTTGGTCACACTCGGCCGTTTTAAACAGTATAGCAGCTTGTCGACTAAAGTCGACCGTGGCGCCTAGAGGGTTAAGACTTAATACATAAAATTGTCTGAACCGATACCCGATCAAAAGAACATTTTCAAAATTGGCAGAAATGTCTGATGCCAGTATTGTATCGTTACGTCCCTAGTGTGAACCAAGAGCAGCAATGATGAGATCGGAATAGATTGTCTAATGGATCAAATTGTTATAAACAATATTGTGAGTGTGTGCAGGAAGGAGAAATCACAGACATCACGGCAAACGCACACTTTGTGGTTTTACCTGTGAAGGCCATGTTCTTGGGGTTCCCATATGGAGAAGGTTGCACGGGACTGTAGACTGGATTCATGGCTGAAGTTAACCTGTTCTTACTGAGAAAGACGACAGAAGGGAAAAGGTTCAGAGGCACAAAGAAGAGAGGAAACATTAAAACTCTGGAAACCAACATTGAAGACAACAAGTTGGAAAGACACTCGTCACTCCTCACACAAACCCTCAAAATTCGCAAAGAAACAAAAATGTAGCCGACAACATGCAACAATGCAACAGGTGACCTCAACGTAGCCTTGCAGGAGAGTCTCAAGACTTACCTGGTTTTGGGGGCCTGATATTATTGCGTGGATGTATGTGTGTGTGCGTCTGTGTGCGTGTGTGTATGCGTGTGTGTGCATGCGTGCCCCGTACCTCTTGTGCGTGTCTGGTTGATACATGAAACTGAATTTGTCTGTGGGATGCCCGCTCGCCATTCTTGCTGTATGCAAATGAGGAAGGAGTGGAAGTGGATATGCAAATCTGAAATTAAAACAGCGAGAGGTCATGATTACAACGAACACAAGAAAAAAGGGGAAAATAATTGCAAAGCAAGCACCGGTGCAAACGGCAAATGGTCAGGGCAGCGTGTCCCTCCAGTGAGGCGCGTGAGCGAGTGATGCACTTCTGTGCTGCAGGTACCAAACCGGCCTCTGTTGCTTCAGTTGCTGCCTTCGGGTCAAATTGACTCGCCACAGTGATTCAAATATACCCAAATAATTTAGCTGAACTTTGATGACTTTTCATAACTTGACCAGCCCTGGATCATTTAGACCCTTTTAGACCCTAATTTAGGGTATTTTTCGTTCTACTTCTGATCATCTGTGGTAGGTAGTTTTGACCCATGGGTAGCACAAAGGCTAAAGCTGGAGTACCTAACTTTGAAACCACAAACGATTAACAATCAAACATAATCCTTGTAACCTGTTCCTTGCTCTCAAATCGGTTTGCTTCTTTAAATAGCCAATAGCACTATGTATGTAAGAGAAAGTTTTTTAAAATAAAGAAGGTAAATGTTGTGGTTCGACATGTTTGCAAAATGTTACTTCAACATTTCTGTTCTGACAAACAATGGATTTATTAAAAAAATGTTTTAGGTACTCCAGTTTAAAAGGTTCCATACGAATATGACTGACTTCATACTGGGAAGTATGAAGTCATTATTTGATCAATATTCAGTGTTTCAAAAAATATATATTCAAAACAAATGACGAAAATTACATTTATCCAAGTCTGAACATACAGTTGATAGCTGAAATAATTCTTCCTCTCATCACCAACAACTTCAGTAGCCCATGACTCTCGATTGAATATGCCCAATGATTTACGGCTTTTTAAGTTCTTCTAATAAGACAAAGCAAAAAAAGCTAGTACTGCTTAAATACCTGACATGTTTCGGCGGTACACTTCCGCCTTCATCAGAAGACCTGATGAAGGCGGAAGTGTACTTCCGCCTTCATCAGAAGACCTGATTAAGGCGGAAGTGTACTTCCGCCTTCAGGTATTTAGTACTAGCTTTTTTTGCTTTGATTGTCTTATTAGAAGAACTTAAAAAGCCGTAAACATAAGACAGAATGAATTTTCCACATTTTATGCCCAATGATATTTTTAAGTGCAATTTTAACCAAACAGTGGTTGATGTAGGGTCACCGATGGCTTAGTATTAGAGAAAAGTATGAAATTGTATAAAAACATTTGTTAAACTGTCTTTTAGAATGTCCAGTTAACCATTAAGGCACTGGCGTTTTCAATTTTTTCAGAAAACAGACAAAACGGTGGAGGACTACTGGTACTGGAATAACAGATGTTTAAATATATATACAAAATAGTTTGTGGGTGAAGTCCAGGATTCAGGAGCTACCACTAACACTAAAGGATTAACAAAATTATCTATATTTTTTAATGGACGATCAGGTTCAAATTCTCAGATATATATATATATATATATATATATATATCTCTGCTTGCAATAAGATTATAAAAAAAGAAAATCCATTCCCCACTTTTAGCTCTTTGTTTAGTGGTGTCAACAACAAGCCGAGGCGACCTGGTACACTGCAGTAGCTCAGTAGCTGACATGTTGTTTTTGCTCTTTTGGCTAATATGAACGCGTGCGACACAGAAGCTACACCAAACATCCACCACAAGCGGCAAAGCAAACACCAACACAAGTCAGAGCAAAAAGCACCATACACCTCGTGAGCGGGCAAGTGACGGCAAAAAACAAGACAAACCACAAACAAAACGTGTACAAATAAGCCAGAGGAGAAAGCCATGAGTAAGCATGATCCGTTATGAGCCAAAGAGACACAGCAGAGTGGAATAGCTAAATCAAGAGGACAGGTGTGTGTGTGTGTGTGTGTGTGTGTTTGTGTGTGTGTGTGTAGCCATTTTGAATGCATTTCTGGGTGGATTTATGGGATTTAAATGTAGAAGTTTATCAGAGATTTGGTGACGTAAGTGATCTTTACAAGTGGAGTAATGTTGCAGTGAAAAAATGTATACTGTGTAGAAAACGGGCCTGAACCGAACAACATTATAGCGACACAAAAGAAAATACCTGAAAGAGAAAATATCTATCCACCAGATAAAATGATTGATGCTGAATACCTTTAGTGATTTTTGTTGATACATATACATTTCCAACAAGACCTAAGCATAATAGTAACAGTATCAAGACAATCAAGCCTTTGAAAAATATTCAAATACAATTCATGTCAAGCTTTTGTTGCCAGATATTGAACCATTTTTGCTCATCATTTTTGAAACAAGCTTTTCAACAACAAACAGAATCACTAAAAGGCGACCATACATGATTTCAGAAACAAGAAAATTGACGTACTCTAAATGGAAAAACTGTTGAATCCGAGGCTATGCAGAAATACCGGCCGGAAGAACGCAATGTAATCCAAAGTAGGACCACTTTTCGCAGCATCCACCAGAACATCTATTTCCGGCTCAAGCAGCAAGATTTTTCTAGTGGCTGTCTATTCGTTATTTCCTGGCACACGCACAAGAGGCACTAGAAACTGAAGAAAACATGCGACATCTACAAGACACTGCTCTTCTTTAATCACTGCCACATAAGGATTCAGAACAATGCCCATTAACGCATGGTCAGGTGGCTAATCCTGAGGTTTAACACACTCCGTACCCAATTACAAGGCTGCATGAAAAGAGCCAGGACTTTGAGACGGTGCAGAGGGAGAAAAGGTGATGAGTGAATAGTGAGAACGAGAGTGAAAGTACAATGTGTCTAATGAAGGTGAGAACATGAGCAGCAGGAGGAGGAAGGGGCTTTTGTCTCTGCACAAACGCCTCAAGACTAAGCTGACAAAGCAGTTTTACAAACGAACTGCTTTAGTCGAATGATAAACATGGAAATACGTATAAGATCGAGTCTATGGCCAGACTCATTTCTGACTTGTGACAATGAGGTTAATACTGAAATGATGGAGTCAGTGATTCAGAAATATCAGTGGTATTTATCATTATTATATGGTATCATTGGAGGGTCGGGACAATGAATGATATTGATAAACAAAGATTGGAGGCGTAAATCTTATATTCACTGACTTTTCAAAATCTAAGCAACTAATCGATTAACCGGAAATAATCAACCTATTCGGGGTGTCACAAACTGTTGAAGGAGATAATCTCCGCAAAAAATGTAAATTTAAAAAGACGGGATTATCTCAGTGGGTTACAACACCCGCAGTGTCGGCATAAGTAACCGTTCAGCTGAAGTTGTTTTAAAGCTGCAAAAGCCCTCACCACAGCAGTAATAACACAAACTGCAATAATTTTATTTGACAAATATTGTGATTGAAACTTTGTACTGAGGCAATGTTCCTATAGACTAATTTGCCATAAAAATAGTTTCATCTACAGCTGTAATTAAGGACCAACAATTATTTTACTAAACTGTTATTGATAAGTCAATTCAAGCATCATTGAATTACGCGCAACCATCACATATGATCATTTGAGAAGATTACAAAGCAAAGAATCAAAAAAAACACTAAACCTCCTTGGACTTTACTTCTAAAAAGGTTACGTGAGAAAGTGTTGTTCTGATCAATATTCTCATTTTTATTCCTCGTTTTAACAACCATCACCAAGGGGCGCAGCAGATTTAGCAGAATACTCGCAGAAACCAATTTAGCGTGTTAGTGCGGTGCTCCCCATTCATCTTGTGTTGTCCCACTGCTGCAGGTGAGATCCTGCGGCTCTGCCTAAAGGGCTCACTCATCTTCTGACAGCCACTACTTCCTTTACCGACTCCAGACAAAGAGACTGAGGCACGCTTGGAGTTCTCAACGTAGAACAGAGGCTCGCCACTGCATTTGAACAGATCAGGAGTGGCATCATTTCTTTATAAATGATTACTGATTGAAAACATACCAGAACAAGTACTTTCAGGGTTCTCGTTTTCTACTCTTTTTCTAGAGTTCTCCGATCAATAGGTCACCGTTTTGACTGTGTCTGAGCGTGGTCCATTCAGAAACAAGGCTGACGGCGCCGTCACCCACGACCCATGCACACGGCTGCAAATGTTCTGTTCTGGTGCAAGAGAAAACTGAGATTATAATGGATCCAGATCAGGGTCAGATCAGGGGACCTCGATGCTGCTAAAAAAATAAATAGAAATCTTTCGAAAACCCCTAATATCTATTCAATACTTGCTGAAAAGACGCTTTAAGTGTTTGCATACATTTAGTAACATGGTCGCTGTAAATTTTTCAAAATAAATGTATAATTTAATATTAATTTTAATGTATACGGCCTAGTTTTTCATTTCACAATATACATATTGTATATAATGTATGTAGCACCACTAAAGTAGCTATATAAGCATACATGGAACTATATGTATGAAGTTATTAATACTTGCCTTTGCTCCTTCTTGTAGCTTTGCATTGCCTTTAGGGCTGGGATAAACGATTATTTTTTAAACGATTAATCTAGCGATTATTTTTTCGATGCATCGATTAATCTAACGATTATTTTTTTCGCTTCGATTCGATTTCGATTCGATTCGATTCTCGATTATCTCCCCATTAATTGACTAATATTGATGTATACATGTTGATTTAAATATTTTAATGATAAAAACATGAATTCCTTCACAAAAAATATGTATTGCTTGCACTTAAAAAATAAGACATTCTTAGAGGTAGCATAAAACCTTAAAGCCTTGAAAACACAGCTTACTGAAAAAAGTGCATCTTATCATTCTTGAAACAAACATTTGATGCTTAGCATTCAATAAAAATATGAAAAAGTTCAGCCAAATACTTGTGTAGAGCAACTAAAAGAAAACAGTAACCAATGTAAACTTGAAGGCTTTAAGCTAAACAAAGAGTGCTTTTCCAGCAAAAACAGTGGGAGCCATCAGCCTGTCATGGCTACATAAGAGTGTAGAGTGGCCACAGGACGCGTCATCAGCCTACGTCAGCAGCCGCGGACTGCTATGAAAACAT